TGAGCAGCAGGGTGACCTTTGTGTCAAAAGACCCTCATGACTTGCTGGGCAAGACAAAATCAGTACTTATGCAGTGGGGTTTCCCCTCCATTTTTATTCTGAATTTTAGCTTTTTTTCAGTATTTGATATTGAACTATAGGGGCTGAAGACTGACCTGTAAGATCTAGGCCTGTCGCCTGTTGCCTGTCTTCACATTTAGGCTTTTTTGGCTTCCAAGGTTCATTTTGCTTTTCTGGTCATTCATTTTTTATTTATTTATTTATTTATTTATTTATTTATTTATTTATTTATTGAGACAAACTCTCAGTCTTTAGCCTGGGCTGGCCTGGAATTCAGCCCAGATGCTGTGGTCATCCCTTAATTGGTTCTATATTTAGGATTCCATGATAGTGGGAAGGGCAATCTTATGCAAAACACACATGTGAAAACAGCTGCTAATTGTACAACATGCTGACTGTAGTTAAAAACAATCTATTGTGTGCCTGAAAACTGCTGAGAATAGATGACAAGTGTTCTCACGGTCCAAAAATGCTAAGTATGTGTGGTAATACATGTGTTAATTGGTTTGGTTTATTCATCCCATAAGATATACATATATCAGAACATCATGTTGTAAAGCTTAGATATATATCATACAATTTTAATTTGTCAATTATAAAAAGAGTAGCCCAGAAAGTAGAAAAAACCTGCTAGAATTATGAAAAGCTTTTCCCTGTACAGAAAAGAAAATACTGGCCAGAGGAAATTTGTCTGGCAGGGGCCAGCTTTTTGCTTGGTCTTCTGAACTTTTCTGAGGCTGAGAATTGAACCTGAGAGGCTCAAAGTAGTTTGATTCAAGAACCAGAGTGCCTGTCCCAGCAGTGAAGTTTTAATTAAGTTGGGACAGGGTGTGAAGCTCTTCATGGGAAAGGTAAAGCAAGAGAGAACAGCAAGATATGTGCTGTAGGAGACACGTGGCAGGGGCCACCTTGCTAGGCAAAATGGAGGGGCCCTGAGTAAGATTGTGTGTGTGTGTGTGTGTGTGTGTGTGTGTGTGTGTGTTTGGTTTCTTTGGTGCTTAAGTATAGTTGGGGACATATTCAAATGATGGAGAAAGCCCCCCCTCTCTCTCTCTCTCACTCTCTGTGGGTGCGTGTCTGTCACTGTGTCTCTCTCTTACCACACTGAGCACTCTTCAGTACCACCAGATTCCCCCACCTTGCTGTTTCTCACCTTGGCAGTTCAGAGGGTTTGCTCAGCCTGTGGGTGCCCAGATGTGAGGACAATAGCCACAGAATGTTCCATGCAAATGTTAGGACAACTGTTGACCTGTGACCTCCCAAAGAAACTGAAATGCCATTTTCAGGGCCCATGAGCCATCTCAGAGTACAAGAAGATACTCTAGAATCTAATCATTAACATTCAAAATTTAAGGAGGATGGTGTAAGGCAAGATATGTATGAGCCCTAGTTCCTTATTTAACTATGGCCAAGAAAATGATTGACTTTCTGTCCCCTGTGAATTTTACAGGATGAGAGAGACAGAGACAGAGACACAGAGAGAGAGACAAAGACAGAGAGTTTTGTTCAGCTTGTACTAATATTTTTGTTGTGTCTCTTATTACATAGTTGTCCCACTTTGCCCTCTTTGCCCTGGGGGTAGATCTATATCATCAGCAGAGAAAGAGAGACAGAAATATATATAAACACACATTTGCTTTTAAAGATAAATATAGTCTTCTAGTTAGGAACTGATGTGTACATCAAGTGAGCATCTGCCCTTGTACACAGCAAGGGCATCACTGTCATTGGTCTGTAATGACATCAGGGCTTAGTCTGAGACTTGGACCCCTAAGGGCTTGATAATGTCAGAGAGGCTCTTTGTCTTAGCCTTGCTTTAGCAGTTAGGTCTATTTGCTTCCTTGATTTTGTGATACGGATCTTTTAGTAGACAAACCAACTAAGGCAGGAACTCCAGGCCACTGCAAATCATCCTGTCTTGTCTGCCCACACCATTTGTATGTGTATGGTCTGTATGTGTATATATATATATACAGGAGTGCATGCACACACATGCACATAGGGGCCAGAGCTTGATATTCTCTTCAATCACTTTCCAACTAGTTTTGAGACAGGGACTATCACCAATTCAGCAAGACTAACTGGCCAGCAAGTCCCAGGGAACCTCTTGTCCCTGCATTAATTTGGATTGCAGGTGCATAGTGCTATGCTTGGCTTTTTTCCTGGGTGCTCAGGATCCAAACTAAGGTTTTCATGCTTGTACAGTAGGCACCTTATTAGTAGAGACAACCCCCTCAGGACTTGACTCAGGTTCCATGTCTTTGCACAAGCCTAGGCTGGGATAGAGCTTGTGGAGAAGACAAGGCAGGTTTCTATTCAGAAAATACGTTTCTAGACTGTATTCCAGTTCCTGATATCGTCTTGGCTTTTACTTCACCTCATAACTCTATTTCCTTTGTATCTGTTTCTCAAAGAATCATAGAAACAGAATGAATGGTAGAAATCTGATGATCATAACACTTTTACTGCTTCCCTTTCAGGAATCTATTCTGTATTTGTGTAAAGTATCTGCTCTGTTTGATATGTCCATAGTTACTATTTAAAAATTATTATGGGGTTTACTATCTATCATCTATCTACCTATCTATCTATCTATCTATCTATCTATCTATCTATCTATCTATCTATCACCTATCAATCAATTATCTACCTACCTACCAGCATTATCTTGTTGAAGTTGACTATCAGGCAAACGGTCTCATCTGTAGGAATTTTTCCATAGATGCATGCCTGAAAATCAGTTCTCTCTCCCCCACCCCATCTCCTGAGAGGGGACGTATTGTTTTGGCTGTTGCTTTTCTTCTAGGAGGGGTCAGTTCAGTCTCAAGTAAAGAAAACAATCCATACTTAATAGGACTTGCTATCAGACACTTTGTTAGGTGTTTCATATGTATATATGAATATCCACAGTGGCTGTGGCTACAAAGTGACATCTTTTTGTCTCCTCACACCTCCACCAATACACCAGATTGACTCTTCTCAGGAGTGTCCATCTACTTGTTTAGAATAAGAGTGGAGCTAGAAATAGACTGCTTCATTTTGAAATCAAAGTAATCAAAGTCACTAAAAGGTGGCTGACCCTGGGCTAGGATCCCCATCACTTTCGGCTTTTGCATTTGATGTGTGTACCTCAGGTCTATATAACTCCTACATACCCCTTATCACTCCTGCTATTTCCAGTTAAGTCAGGCAAGAATATGGAGGAGGCTAAGGTTGCTTCCCTAGAGCCCTCCCCTCCCCTCCCTCCCTCTCCCTTCCCCTGCAAACACCCTGGTGGGTGGAGTTAGAGCAGCTTGGGTTGCTCCTGATTCATCTCTCCAACAAAACTCCAGCCGGCTGTTCCCTGGGGCCTCTCTCTCAGATCTGGAGCTGATAAACTAATTGGGGCTAATGTGATAATGGGCAATGAAGACATTTACTGTTTTTATCAGGCCCAGGGCATACATTTGCATGTTAACAGGGCCTTTGGCAGGTAGACATGATTGAACTGGAGGGGAGGTGGGTTTATTGCTGGAGGTTAGAGAAGCAGAGGGGCTTCACAGACCTACCCCAAACTGTACCACATTAAGGACCCCAAACTCCTTTAACACCCACCTTCTTCCAAGACCCGTCCAAACCCACCCTTGCCCCACCAGGGACTTTTGCACCTGAAAATTCTCTGCATATGTTGCTTAAACCAAGCAATAATGCGGCTGCCTGGCTCCTCTCCCCGTTAGCAGTACAACAACCATGTGGGGTCTGCTCCTTTTACGAGCCTTTGCTTATATATTTCTTTTTCACAAATGGGACTTCTGGGTTATGATCACAGAATTGTTATATCTTTGCCAAGACTCCTCCTGTCTCCCACCAAAGAGGGAGGAGGCTCAAAGAGTTCAAGAAACCTGCCTGGATGCTTTGCTCATAGAAGGCTGCTGTCCAGAAAGACTGAAGGGGGAAAGTTAATGGTTAGGGGATTGTATTTTTCCTGGCCAGGGCACTCACTCACCTGTGCAGGTGGAGAAACATTTGGGACCCAGTGAAGCAAGGATAGGAAACTCCCTGCACAGCCATGTCTCAGGGGGATGGGGTTTGTGAGATCAGACGATCTCAGTAGTCTATATCTTGCTCAGACTCTGTTGGCATTTTAGTTTTCTCTGTTTTAAGTCCTTCAGGGAGGTTTGATAAACAGTCAAAAAGCATCTCCAAAGTGTAGAGGGTGGACCACTGCCCTTAGACATCTCATAGTGGACCCTGCCAGGACCATCCCCTTCTAGTCTTCCTCCAAGGCACTTACCTGGGGCTGGGGAAAAAGCCTGTTCAAAGTCCTCTGAAACTGTCCAGAGTCACTACAAAGAGCCAGTCATGGTGCCCAGAGAGAGAATGGGCTAGAAGCACCTTCCATGCTTGGTACCTGCACAGCCAGGGCAAAGGTCTTGATGCCAAAGCGGAGAGGACCACATACAGGTTAGAAAAGGAGACAGATGTTCAAGAGCACCTGCGCAGCCCTCTTCCTTCATCTGCCCGCCAGGAACTTGGGTTTTTATACCCCTTCCCCAGGCGGCTTTGGGAGTTGAGGTACTTTTCACCTGAAACTGCCTGTAAGCTGAAAAGCACAGTCACCACCAAATCAATTCCTCATCCATTAACAGGTTGTCTCTGTTCTTGAGACACAGTCATAACCTGGTTAGACCTGTTTTGTTTGAACACTAACGTGTGAGTTGGCCAAATGCAAATGAGCCAATGTTTGTAATCCTTTATTTTATTTTTTTAAAGGGCCGGGCAGCCAATCAGAGGAGGGGGAAGTGACTTAGGGAATTCCCGGTTGGTGGCTTATTGCTTAACATCCTACAAAATGATTTTAAATTATTGTCATATGCATTTATCTTCACTCTGATGAGAGCTCAGACGTGATAAGTTTGTGGCTTCCCATCCTGGTAGGAGCTAGTGTGGTAGCTACCTGCCTTCTTCATCGACAGAGCTATAGGACTGCCCACCCAGAATCTTTAGGTAAATGAGGTAAGTCCTTGATTTTCAATCTTCTTTTGAACCTGGAATTCAAACACCTGCGTGGAAAGAAGAGAAGCCTGTCTTGACTCAGACAGGTGAAAATAAACCAGAGGCTCCGGGAGGCAGCTGCCAGGAAGTAAAGCTTGTGTTACCTGGCCTCACCTACTGAATCTTGTTCGAGCTTATTTGGGTGAGAGCAGCTAGGCTACTGTGAGTGTTATCTGTGAATTTCCTATATTGTCTGGACTTCCAATCAGCAAGAGTCTAAAAGTCCCCTCGTTTCTCTCTGTCCATGTGGTATGACAAAGCCATATCCCTGGGTTATATTTTTCTAGAACAAAAAGCAGATGGAGACCGATGGTTCTGATGTCGCTCAGTGATGACCTGTTGGCTAAAGGCTGGTAGGGCTCAGGGAGCATGATCTCATAGTCTAGAGGTGGCTTTGCTGCTATTTTTTCCTGACTTACAAGCAGTAAGGAAAAACCAGTTCACCTTCAGCATATTCCAGTTTGGGAAAATGGGTATAGATAGGCAAAAAGAGCCTATGTTCACAAAGGGAACAGGAATCAGCTTGCCAAGTTAGGCAGCCTGTAGCCTTAAAAATGATCTTGCACAGAAAGAAGACTCAAGTTAGGTAAATGATTTTACCATATCACAAGGGGACAGACCAACCCTTTGTTTTTCCACAATGGGGATACTATGACCAGACAGGCAGACATGACTCACCAGCAACAAATGCCTTCGATATAGGGACTCTTTTGATTTTGTTTGTACACCATGAACAAGTGTTGGGCCCAGTGTCGATCGAGCAGAGAAGAGAAAAATGAGGGGATGAATCTTGTTGGATTACAAGAGCACTTTCCTTTCCTTCTTTCCTTCCTTCCTTCCTTCCTTCCTTTCTTTTTAAATATCTCTTTTCAGGTGCTCTGAGTATGGCTGTGGGTGATGCATCTTTAAGATGAAGTATAAGATTCTCTGAGTTTGAGTCCTCGAGTGTCTCTGCTGTTACTCCATGTTGACCTCAGGGAGAACAGGGGAGTTTGGAGTCTGAGATTTCTGGTGGAAGCAGCAATTGGTTTTGTAGGTATTAGTGTGAGGATGTATAAAACCATATCTTTCAATGTATAAGGGGAAGTTAGAGATCAGGAATAGCTATCTATGTGCTACTTCCCCTGAGGTCCAGAGAAGAGTCAGTTTCTAGCAGAAGAGAAACAGCTATGAAATAAGAAGAATTTCACAGTCAAAGATGGGATTAGAAATAAGAAGAATTTCACAGTCAAGGATGGGATTAGAAATAAGAAGAATTTCACAGTCAAGGATGGAGCCATGTGGGACTGGTTATAGCTGCATCACGGGGCCCATGGTTTTTAATAACTGTAATGGAAGACTCGAGAGTTATTTGGAAGTTTGTAACCACATTTAAACACACCAGATATCATGAGTGCCATCTTCCATATTTCTGGATTGTTCAGCAGATATTCTGAAAGACAGCAATCTTGAGGAAGCTACTGTGTTGGAAGTTGTATGACTATTCAAGACACCTTATTTAGGACCCTTTGTAGGTACAGAAGTGTGTTGGATCCAGGCCTCATTTATGCGAAAGGTCTGAGTCAATAACATTTTGTTGTTGTTGTGTGTGCTTAAAAAAAAAAACAATTATATTACCTATATCCATACAAGCTTCCTGACATTTTTCTTAAATGTTACTATTCTGTGATTTCCCATGGGAGCGCCCTGGGCCTTTCTAGACTTCTGACAAGCTTCAATGACACTCATGAGTCCATATTTGTGGGTTCCACAAGGGTTTCCCATTCATCCTTTTTCAATACCCCTTTTGACTCCTTTGAAGGCTTGAGACAAAAATGGAAACTGAGACTTTAGTTGTGTTTTCAGTGACATTCTGTTAGCTAGCTGTGATCACCAGGTCAAAAGGTGAATGCTTCCAGGCCATGATCAGCTCTAAGGAAGTGGGATTGCGCTTTCTGGAATCATACTGGGTTTTATTTCCTTCTTATCATCGCCCCTCAATCTCTGGGGGTGTTGAGAACTGAGCTGTGTTTGTTGGACGTTCTTGAATTTTTAACTAAATTTGAGAATCTTACTTCGTATCCCATCGTCCACACACAGTTGTGGAGGCTCACACAAGAGCTCATCCACTTCCTTTGGATGAAAGCATCCCCTAGGCCTTTCAAACAGATAAAGCCTTTGAAGACTTCTGGGAGGTGAGGCAGGAAGGTTACCAGAACACCGAAACAGAGTCTGCCAACACACAGCACCACGGTTCGAAGGAACCAGAAAAAACTCAAAACCCGATTCAGTGCCACCACTTTGCTGGTGTTTTAAGCAATTTCTCTTGTTTAGCTGGCTGGCTCTCATCTTTCATGGAGGCAAAGCAACAGACTTCTCTGTTATGGATGGGGCCCAATTGCGGAGCATTGGCTTGGTGTTTCAAGACCGCACACCCTGACCCTGCTTTTGTTACTGTTTAACTGAGCACAGAGCAGTGGCTTTCAGTTTGGGTAAGCTAAATCTGTAGCAGGGGTCTTCCTCAGAGCAGCGAGGCAGGAGGCTGCCACATTGCCCAACTTTTCTTAATTCGATTCCCAACAGCTGATGGGAGAGGGTGGGTAATTCACTTTATTTGATATTTTCACATCTGTTTATAAAATGATTTGAAGTGATATGACTTGTTCTAGGAACAGGCATTTTTGCTCTTATTAAAATTTGTGATTTGTGATTCTTTTTTTTTTTTTTTTTTTTAAAACACCGGTTAGAACTTTAAAGGACCAGAGTATGAAGATATGTAGGAAATCAATAACAGTGATGCCATGGGAACATGGGGAGAATAGCTGCTCATGACAGCTTATTTTAGGATGGGGTGTGTTCTCCAGCCAAATGGCATGTAGTGAGGAAGACAAGATACTCTGGAGCAGACATTTCTATCAGTCCTTTGGAGGTAGTTGATGAAAACTTTACGGCCTTTCCATGGGAACAAAGATCCAAGGGTTGTCCCTGGAGGCTGGCTGGTGCTGTCTTTGGAGTGATCAGAGCAGAGTACTGGGAAGGCAGTTGGTGGGACAGTGCTCGGAATGGCAGTCAGAAGACCTGGCAAGGCTGAGTGGCTCAGAGCAATACACTGCACCTCTCTGGGTTTTAGTTTCCTCTTTCATACATCCTGAATACCTTTAAGATATATTTGAACTCACAGATTCTGCTGGCTATGGCAGCCAAGGGTAGGTGGGACAACTATGCTGAGGGTCAGCAGGATTTGAGCCTATGAGAACATAGAGGGGGTGACAGATGCCCTCAAGGCAGGAAGACTTCTGGGGGCCCTTAAGTGTTTCCTTTAGGCTCTTGAGAACTTGGACTAAGAATAGACTGTTGAAGGGTGAAACCAGCAGCCTTCTTTGGTGGTGGTGGTGTCTCAGCAGTTAATGGCACATGGTGCCCCATCTTAATCAATAGGCCCAGAGCTGATCAGCTTGCGATAATAGGGAGCAGGTGATGCACAAACAACACTTGAGGAAGCCCAAGAGCTACCTCCGGGTCAGCCGAAGGTGAGACTTCCCATGCTGGTATCCACTCAGCCCGAGCTGCATGGGTTTGTCTGTGGGTGACTGGGAAGATGAGAAAGATGTGAAGTCTGTCCTGGAGGAAGACTCGATGGTAATCTTTTGTGGGGAATAGGGTTGGTTGGGTTAAACCGGAGCTTTGTGCTGTTTCCAGATGGCTCAGCTCTGCATCTGCAGCAGACAGAGCTTACAACAGGCTCAAGCATGGTGTCCCACTTAAAGAGGCTCCTAGGGTATTAATTGACTTGGTTTTAAAAGAGACATCCCGTAAAATGCTCCTTTGAAAATGATTTCACTAGCACCTAACCACGGTGTGTCTTAGGTTTGCTGTGTGGGGCTGGGCTCCTTATCACCTGGCTTTACTTGAATCACCTCTCCCAATCTCTTGCTTATTTCTCAGTTATAATCATTGTTAAGGGGGTTTGACCATTTATTTAAATTATAATGTGTATAGATGTACCCAAAACATGACTTCTGATGACATAAGCCTAAAATAAAAAAGGGGCGAGGAGCCAAGCAGATAATTGTGTGCCTGTTAAGAGAATTGAACATCTCATTAACCCAACTATTTCACTATGAAAACTTAGCTTAAACAACCTTGTCTAGATGCATGCTTTCTTTGATGTAACCATGGTGAAGTCAAGGTGGCCTCTCAGCTGCTTCTTGCTCTCCATTTGTCGCAGACTCATGATAAACAGTCTTCGGGGCTGCAACTGTATGCCAGGTATGGATCTGAGAAACTTTAGTCACTATTAATCTTTCCACCAGCCTAACTATGACGAGCCTCTCTCAGAATAAAGAGGTCATTCTTGTATTACAGAGTCTGGTGAACATGACCATCGTACGGAGTTTGCTGTGGAATTTCTTAGGAGCCTTTGGCAAGCTTCCCTCAAGAGGGCTGCTGTTATAGTCTTGAGGAGAGATGAGGGGAGAGCTATTAGCAGTTCTGTCTTCCACAAGACTACTGACCAGACTTGTTTTGGCTTTGTGTGGGCTGTAGATTTGGCCTGAAAATTAGTCTATGCCTAACTTAGTTCTTTTTAAGAAATTAAAGAATAGCTAGCTGTGATTCTGCCCTCTTCTTTCCATTGGCTAGAGCTGTGTGGAAGATCACAAACGAAGAGTAGATTTTCACTGTCTGTGTCTGAAGGGGCAGGCAGCATTGAGCTGTCATGAGGGTACAGGTTTTGCTGGGATATGGAAAGATGTGGAGTCAGAGTACCTGGCTTTAAATTGGATACTGCCACTGAATAGTTAAGTGCTTTGGGGGAAATTCTGTAAACTTCAGCATCCAAGTCTCTTCATCCAGAAAAATAGGTGAATAACATCTACTATGCAGGGCCAATAAGGATTAAATTAAGCAAAGAATGTGACAGCACCCAGACAATGCTCATAAGTGATTCGTAGTAGTAATTTGCAGGCTGGATGTCAAGGAGA